CCGTATTGTTCCATTGGAGGCAACCCTTCAAAGAATACATAGCGGGCACTTTGGGATACAAACCGTCGCGGTTGGATCTATCTTCAAGTTGCGACTGGACATCGGCGCTTGACAGGGAGAATTCATCATTGAAATTGACAACCTTTGGGACCAAAGGTGGTCGGGGCGTTCGCGCAAGGAAGCTTGCAGAGCCTCAAGAACAACTCAAGTTCAGCAAGTCCCAGCAGCTCAGGGCACCACGATTACGTAAGGGATGCCGAATGCGGCAGCTCGAAGACTTTCACTTTTGCTGTCGACCTGTCCAAATTTGTGATGAAGAAGTCTGGCCTCTGTCATATCTGTGATGAGGGGGTGTGCGCATCCAAAGGCAGGATCAATGCTGATAATGCCAAAGTTGGTTTCTTGCATGTAACCTTCACATAATGGTTCCTTTCGCTCTCACTCTCCTTTGCTGACAGTACTGCTGGGCCGTTTTTTTGTCGACCCGACGTCCCCCCTGCTGTTCAGTTCACTGCATTCAGCACAATTGCCACGTACATAGCTACATGGCATCCCTGCCTGTCACGTGACATGCATTGACCATTCCCTGTCCACATATTCTGGCGCATTTTGAAAAATCGAAAGTTTCTTCTGAACCACTTTATTATTTATTTCCATGAAAAACAAAAAACACAAGAGCAACGCATTTGAGAGATCACGAGAGTGACTTGAAGTCTTCTTGGCCATCTTTGCCAGTCACTGATGAGAGCCATGATTTGTGCAGTTTGCAGTTTGCTTGCCCTTGGATGCCGAAGACCACCTGCATCTGCTCAGCGCCTGTAGACATGCGTGGGATTAGCTTTTTTGCTTCCATTTCTGCCATGCACAAATGCGTGAACCGGAGGGGATGGGTCTGATTTGAGTGGCGTGGGGCCTCGTTGGTGGTATTGACAAAGTTCGTCTTATCTGTTGTGACGAGTCAGTTAGTGTTGCGGGAGGTGCCTGTTACTCACGTGGAAGAACCTTAAACACCTTTTTATTGCAGTTTAAAGGGTGGTTTGCCTAATGATTCCCAAGTAAGCTGTTGTTGGTTCATGGTCTGCAGATGTCTGCAGGAGTTTGAAGCGGAAGGTCTTGGTGGGCCTATGAGGCCAAGCCGAGACACGACATGCCTGAAGATGTTGAGTGATGTGCTGTGAAAGCATGTGCTGGACCCTGCGCTGAGAGGATGCCAACGCCGCATGTGAGTTCTCAGATGATTGAGGAGACCGTGCTGCCACCAATTAGGATTCAAAAAGCATGCAGCCTGGCAAGGATACACTGCCAACCTCGGCCAAAGCTGTTCGAATTCTGCCTGCTGAGGTTGGAAAGAATAGATTGGATGTTTTGAGGGTTGTTACGATTTGTCCTGCTGCAGGCCCCAGCGCCAAGCAGAGGTGCTGGCCAACGAGCCGCAAGCGCAGTCGATTCCAGTCACGACAGAAACATCAGCTTCAATGCCCAAGTGGAGGCAGTCGATGCAGCCAGCGCGGCTTGCATGGGACCTGCGCGAGATATTCGGGAAAGGACGCCTACCGGCGTTCTGCATGATGTTCAAGTTGATGCGGATGAGACGACCGTGAAGCTTGGCGGCGATGTATCGTTTGTACCAGCAGCCAGCTCCCCGGCATCTCCAGAGCAGGCAAGAAGCACTCGAGAACGGACATCCACCGGATTCATCGTTGAAGATGCTGTTATGGCACAAGCTGACGGGAAAAACATCAGTTTCAGAGCCCAAGACGAGGCAGTCGATGCAGCCAGCGCGGCTTGCATGGGAACTCTGCGAGAAATCAGGGATAGGACACCTACAGGCTTTGTCCAGAATGTTCAAGTGGAACTAGAGGAGAAGTCCGTGAAGCTTGGCGGCGATGTATCGTTATTAGCAGCAGCCAGCTCCCCGGCATCTCCAGAGCAGGCA